CTAATCCTCTAATTTACCCTCTCTTGCAACAACAGTCCATCATTTCTTCAAGGTAATGCTGGAATCCAAACCATCCTTTGAGAACATCTGAATAGGACCCTCTTTGTGATTTATTCTGTACCAATTCTCACAAAGCAATATTTACCTGTACCATATACTATGGCACAGCACTTTATTTATACAATATCACATTCAACTGTGTGGCATGGTTATTTAAAACTGCCTGTCTTTCCATATTTGGGTTTGAAACATGAATATGGAAGTCAGCAGACAGTATATAAAGCAACTTTTTAAAAAAAAATTGACTCAAAATATAAATGATAAAAATTATGCAAGAGTTAAAAAAGATTACTAATTGAAGCTTTCATATATACATAATTTTTATCACAGAGATAAACCAAAGTAACTCTTAGTAGAATTCCTTTAAGCCATTTATTTAAATAAAGCTTTTCTAGGCAATTACAAGTAGCAAACTGGGATCACTTCATCATCTCAGAATAAATTCAAAATCTATCTCAATAATAAGCAAAATTATGCTATTGTATTATCCCCTATCCAAGCCTACTAGGGCCCAGGATTCTGCTCAGGCAGAACAACTTTAATGAGGAAAAGGAGATAAATTAAGAGTAATAACTCAAATAAATGATAGTCCCTGTTTCAAGGCCCGAGGAAGATAAGATACTCAAAACAAATACCCAAATAATTGGCGTTCAAAACCCAAGGTTTATGGTAAACAATACTTCATGTGACAGGAACCCAGAAAAAAGCAGATGTAGCTATTCTACTGGCAGACAAAGTGAATGTCAAGCCAAGACTGATCAAAAGAGACAAAGAAGGTCACTACATACTTGTTAAGGGAAGACTCCAAGAAGAGATAACAATCATAAATATATATATACCAAATACCAGTGCACCCAACTTTATAAAACAAATATCAATGGACATGAAAAAAATCAAATAAACACTAACACAATTGGAATGGGGGACCTCAATATCCAACTGTCACAAATAGATCAACTAGACAAAAAATCAACAAAGAAATATCAGAACTGAAACAAACCTGTGAACAAATGGACTTAGTGGATGTCTACAGAGTATTCTACCCCACAACATCAGAACACACACTCTTCTTGGCTGCATATGGGACATTCTCCAAAACAGACCATGCATATACTCCTAGAACATGCAAAGGAACTGAAATGATTCCATGCATATTATCAGACCATACAACAATGAAACTGGAAAACCCAAGTTTTACCCCATAGGGACTGTTTTTCAGGGGTCTAAAGAATTCAATTTAAAATTCATTCTTATCATTTTAATATAATCTAAGCATCTTTGATTGACACTCTAAAATACATTATGATCATAGTGAAATCACAGAAAATGAATTATATTTCAAGCTTGACAAATGTACTAATGGTAAAAGGCAGGAAAAGGCTATTTGGCCTCATCATTTTTTAATAATTTCAAATAAATGACAAGAAAAGCAAGACAAAAACACAGGCAGGTACTCAACTTGCTTTGCTCTTTAGTATTATTTTATAATTTCCTGAGCAATGCACATTTAGCATCTAATAGATGGAAAATTATTTTTTTCTATTTTCCATCACCTGGCTAAGACTCTTGCGAAAACCACACTCAGGAACCTCATATTAATAAATTATGATTTTAACCATACTGATTAGCAATCATTTCCTTACCCTCACCTCAGCATTTCCAACAAGAGCATAATAATGCTGTTCCTAAAAGGCAATGCCCAGCAGAATCAAGACAGAAAACTGAACAATGGCCAGGAAAATAAGGTGGATGTTCTCTCCTCTACTCCCACTATGCTTTGTTTTGAATCTGTATTACAGACCTTTCCATACCACATGGCAATTATCCTTTTATGTGCACACCTCTGACAGTGTTCTCTGAGTTCCTGTACAAGTCAAGGGCAGGACCATGTCTCACTAGCTTTGTACCCTAGAAACTGGCACTGAGTAGGAACACAGTCAGTTTTCAATAAATGCCTAATAATTGCTTTAAAAACTGTTTCTGCAATAACTTTGAAACAAACTTCACATTTAATGTTGGGTGTATTTGAACCTAGATGTATATTCAAGAGTAGTAGTTCTATCACTTTACAAAAAAAGCATCCACTGATGGACGGCTTTTGGATCAGCTGTTGACTTAGACTGAAGAACCAAGTCAAAGCCAGAAAATCTCCCTAAATGAGATGCTTCTGGTTATGCTCCTGTTCTTTTCTTAGCTCATGCACATGCTAACTCTGTGGTACTAACTATTGTTACAAAACGGTCTACATTTTACAAAGAACACAACTGAGAAATTACCCTCTTTTACTCTCCATGACCTTGGAAAGTCTGCCCTCTGAAAACAGAACATTTAGTTCAAACAGGATTCTCAGTTAACCATTTTAAATTCTACATGACAAGGAATGATGACACTACACACTCACTAGACATTTCTTTTGCAGTCTAAAACTATTCCATTGTTCCTCATAAAACAAATTATTTTACTTTGTAGTTATATCTCGAGATCTACTCTTATAAAGAGGTTTCATAAAGAAAAATGTTAGCTACATACTTAACCTTGCCTTTTCCTTACTATCCAATTAGACCTGAAAATTGCTATTTTTCATTATTCTCAAGCTAAACTCAGACTATTGCAGTTATTTAAAAAAATACAGTTAGGTAATGTGTCAAGGGATTAACTTTGGGACTAATAATAAAGTTCCTGACGTAATCATCCAAACAATGTTGATATCATGAACCACTTCCTTCACCACGGACAAATAAGAAAGGATAAACAAATGTGGGGGATGCTTCTGAATTACATTCTTCAATAAAGTATATCATCAATTGGTTTCATGAAGACCTATTTCTATGTGAGAGAAAAATAAACATACTGAACTCTTATAATAATTTATGTGATCTTTTTCCACAAAGCCCACAGATGCATTCACCATTTTCATCTCTGCCAAATAATGAAGATAGAGAAACCCATAGTAATGTACCTTTGCCAACACCCAAACCAACATCCCACTAAGTAGACTTTGTATAATAAATTTTCTTATAAATCAGATTCCTCAACTGTAGAAGCTAAACCTAAGCCCACAAGAGGTTTAATAAAATATATAATGGTAGTTATCAAACAACCATCCATTTTAGCATAACTCATGCTGAAATAATTAAGAGGATAAAGCTTATACTGAGGACCATTTATAGACCAAAATTAGGCACATCATTTTTACTGTTTCAATAATGACTTCACAGAGACTATAGCTCACCACTTCCTTATATTAATCTTTATTTGATGTTCTAACCCTCAATCACAAATATACAAAGTTTGACGATTCAAAGAATGGGTGTGCATACAAAGTTAACAGCTCCCCTGTAAAATCTAATTCACCTGTTCTTGTCCACTTACATAACAGATAAATCGGAGCAAACTTTCAATTTCTTCTTTTACTCCCAACTAATGATTTAGGCAATGAGACTGACCTCTAGATACACACTCCTTAGAAAAACAAGTACAGCTTGTATAGTGCCTGCCAAATATATGCATTTTTTCCAACAACATATTCAGGCTCATTCTTAAGTAGCCAACACTAAAACCAAAACCTGACCCAAAGCAGCAAGTTGCAATGTTCTGACCCTATGACATCATTCTGTCTGGAACACTTTAATAATTTGAATAAATTGGCAGAAGCTTAAATAGGTCACAAAGTAAGGATATGTATCTGGCAGAAATATTCTGGCTCTGCATTTAACATTAGTGGCTACAGAATGACAGGCCCATCACTCACCTATCTTATCTGTACTTTCCCTAAGGATAAATGAAAATAAAATAAATTTTGTCACTTTCCTGTATTGCTAATACTATGGACAGTAGCTTTTTTGTAGCCTGTATTTGCACACAGTAACAACCCAAAGCAAAAGTGAACGCTACCCTATGATTTCGTGTGCTTGGAACATCCCTACAATGGAGTATTTTTGAGGTTTCCAATTCTGCAGTTATAAAGTCATCAAAAGTCCCAGCTCAACTAAGTTTATAATGAGCTCCAAATATATATGAAATAAAGCCATAAAGGTTACCCATAAATATAGGACAGTGCTACTCCTTCAAAAGCAAAAACTACTCATTTTTGCAAAGCAGTAAGCTACATGTTAATCTTATTTCATAATCCTACTTAGTACTGACAGCTAGTTTTACAGTAGATCCCAGGTATTTGGGTTGCCTTTTTAACTGGACTTCTCTGAGAACTAATATCCAGTTTGATTTCTCCTTGTGAAATTACAGTTCATCTGAAAAGCAACAAGCAGAAACCACAGAAGTTTCTGATACTCTCAGCTCCGCCACCCCCCAACATAAATTTTCCTTTCACAACAAACAATGCGCAATTGACAAGGTTTCCTGTTTCAAAATGGAATAGTAGATAAAAGGAACTGTACCTATACCATTAACAATGAAAAAGTTTCTTAATAAACATGAAATTCTCACAGATGAAAATGGAAACTCTCAAATACTGCTTCCTAACTTAAGGCTTAATTTGGTGCCTTCCTCAATAAACACAGCACTACACAACTGATTGTTATAAGTCTCTGTTCCATCAGAGACTTCTCTTAAATTATTTTTTGTATTATTCTCTGTTGTTATCTAAAAGCAACACAGCCTCATGTAAGACTGAACAAACACTTCTAAACCATACAAAGGCCATACACCCACAAAAAGCAGCCAATGGTAAAAACTTTGCATATCTGAGTCATATAGAGGAACTCTGAACCTTAAGAGCAGGACAAAGGGTAACAAAAACAAGTCTTTGCTCTGCAGTCAACTTTTCAAAGCAGTGTGGAAGTTAAGAAAAATGGTAATACACATGAGAGAAGACTGTTACCATAATAATAATTATGAATTAAGAATATGCATAAATAAATCTGGAGAAACCATACCCAGGTGAATAGGGCTGTGCACGGGCATAGTTAGACAGAACTCACCACTTTGTCCATGAGTTTCCAAGTTTTCTCCACAGTTCTGCGATCAGCTGCAGCTTGTTTGGGGGGGCCAACTGCATCCTGAATAGCATCAATAATACCCAAAATTCGACCTTTCCTGGGGTTTCCTCCTCGACCACCAGGGTTTCTGCCATTCATAGAATTTGCCATCTGGATTTTCAGAGCTTTGAAAGGTAAATACAAAAGAAAAGTTGGATATGAAAATACCTAGCCAACAGAAAACTGAGCAAGCTGACTCCTACCCACCACAAAACCAAGAGTCCCAGACTGAACTTTTCAATAATTGTGTGAAATTACTTTCTCCAACCTTACACAAGATAAGGTTAGGAGGAACGTTCGTAGATCCTATGAGTTAAAGATTCATCCCTAGCACGTTTCGGTCAAAAGCTTAACTAAGAGCCAACTTATAACAACAAAAAACACCTGAAATAGGTTTACCTCCACTAGATGAAAACACAATGTTCTCCCTCTCTCTGCCTACTCTAACTGTAACCCCTACAATACATTTGGGAGCCTCATTCAGAAGCCGTCTTTTCACTCTGGCAGATTTCACCAAGTTACTGTATAAATGTAAAGTGTTCTACCCGAGCACAAGGGACAAGTCTGTTGGCGACGAAGGCGTAGGTCTTGGCTTTCCCCCGCAAAAACCACCACGTACGGACACACAAACACACGGCTCTTTAAATCAACGCGGTGAATCGTTATTCCCAAGAGCTAAGTAAACCCACGAACAAACAGCTCATGTTTAAGAGGCTGAGAAACTGACAAGAGCGGGCACCGAAAGCAGAGTTCACTTTTTTGTGCTCCTCGCCTCTAGTTTCAACCAAGGGGGATGCAGGGAGACCCGAAGCTTTGTTTCAGGACCTCTCTGCCCCTCTGGGCTCTCGGCTGCAGAGGGAGGACCTGAGGGAGGGAGGCCAGACAGACGGACGGACTGATGGACGGACGCAGAGAACAGCGGATCCCGGGCTTCCCCGGCGCCCCAGCCCTGCCCGCCTCCGGGCTCCGCACCTCCTGGCGTCCACAATCCCAGCCCCGCGTCTCTTCCTCTCCCTCCTCCTCCTCTCCACCTCCCCGGGCTCCGACCAGCCCGGTTCCGGTCTTTAAATCCCTCGCTTCAAACTGTAGACAGCAGCGGCCAGCGTGGCTGTGCCCTGTCCCCGCAGGCTCGCGCCGGCCGCCCAGGGCCCGGGTCAGAAGGGGCCGTCAGCCTCCCCGGTGCCCCTTTCCTGCCCCGCCTCCCGGGACCACGCGTGTGCGCGGGTCCCACTCCACACGCACGTAGCCGGGGTGCTGGGGAGCCCGGCGGGGAATGTGTAATCGCTGTGATAACAAGCTCCCGGGGAAGGAGCAGCCTAGAGCTCCGGCCACCGAGACGTGGAAACGCAAAAATTACCGTAAAGACAAATCCACACCCGCTCTCCCCTCCCGCCCGACTCGGGGAGGCCGCAGCAGCACGAGCTGGAGGAGGAGACCACTCGCTGGCCACCCCACCCGGGTAACATACACAGACAGCCGCGGGGCGGGGCGGGGGCGGGGCCTCAACCCACTGGACCACTCCCGCGCTCCTGAGCGCTGCCCGACAGCGAGCGCAGCCAATGGGCGAGAGGCACCTGTCCCCCCCCCCCGGCGCTACCACTGGGTCCACATCCTCCACAGTACACAATGGCCCCAAAGGAAAGCCCGCATGTCTCAGGACCCAAATGCAGAGGAACTCGGAGAGAAACGGACCTGGAATGCCTGGGAACCAAAGTGGAAGAGGGAAAAGAAATGGAAGAAGAGTATGAAGGCAGTAGAGAGCTAACCAATGAGGGGCGGGCAGGTAGGCGTGAGTGTAGGGAGCGGGAGCTGGAGCCAACTGGGCTCAAGGGCGGGACTTCCTGCTCCGCTCACCTTCCTAGTCTTTTGTTTCATAGCAACAGAGTAGAGGCTAGAAGGGTGTTGTTTCCCTACTCTGGGCGGGTCCCAGGCCTGAGAAATTCATCTCCCTAGGGCTGCCAGACTCCAACCCAAGACAGCAGCCAGACAGGTCTAAAACGGTATTTCTTATTCCCTGTCAAAAAAAAAGCAACAGTCACCAAGCGTCAAAAATGAAGTATAAACCTCACATAGTGTAGACTGGGGGTAAAACCTGATTGCCAACTAAAACTTCCTAAATTTCTTAGTGTTTCCCTTTTACTATTAGTTCTAGAGAGATTCCAGATCAAACATCGGGCTAATGAAAAAGGCAAATAGTTGACAATGCTGGCCAAATAGTCTCTGCTGATCATGCCAGGGCAGTAAAAGTACCAGACAATGGGAAGTACTAATATATGTGTTACGTACGCTTTTTTTTTATTCAGTTCAAGTTTCTGCATAAATGAGACTTCAGCTGTTCTATTTTGTCTAAGCCGTCTTTATTATCCATAGATTTCTGTCCGTTTTAAAAGCTACCTCATATTTGCTGCTATTCTCTTCCAGCCTTTTTACTCTTTGTGTGGCTCCGTCCTCTATGTCTATAAAAAGGTGCACATCTGGCTAGTTTTAAAATGGAAAAGCTACTGTGCCAGGACCCTTCTTTCAGCAACATCGTACAGTAAACAAACTCCCTTCATTCCTTTTTATTTCATTGCTACCACATATGCTACTAACAATCAGCCTGGATTTCCATGGTTTGGAACTTCTTGCCGCTGCAGTTGAATATACTTTACACCTTGTGCTTCTTGGTGTGATATTTTGCATCGTTTCTTCAAAAATATTCCTAATCTTGTTCTAACCAGTTGCCTTATAAAGTGTTTGTTTCTCCATGGTTCTACTTTCTAGTAAATAAGCATTTTATTAACGGGATTATCACTTTGGAGGGTCCTGAGTTGTTATAAATATGTGTCATTCTACGTCCCTGAATTAGGATGGTTAAGGTTTTCATTTTATGAGAAAACTCAAAATGTGCTCTTTGCAACCAGTCAGGTTATAAAATGTGGTTTGGGAAGTAATTTTGTTTCCCTGTCGTTACTTCTTCACCAACAATTAAGGAATACTTCTCAGTATTTACACGGTTTATGTACTGGCCTATTCCACCCATCCTCGTCTCCCTTACTCATGGAAATAGTAGCTATATTTATTCAGGGAAGACTACAAAAAACAAACAGAAAAATGTTGGATCACCTTTAAAATAAATCCAAAAAGATGAAAACTATGTATAGAAGGTTTTCTGCACGTAGCCCAACAGTGACTTAAGGGAACAGTGTAACTAAGTGTATTAGTCATTCATAACTGGATAAATCTGACAGTGCTAGCCAAATAGTCTTTTTATACATGTTGATGAATGTGCCATTCCCTTTCTATTGTTTTCTTATGAAAAGTTATGAGAATGAGAAAATGGTATGGTCTGTGGTATCAAGTATATCATATGGTTACAAATGCCAAGTTTTATGGTACTTTATACTGTTATACATACAGGTATATGTATGGGATATACATATGTGTGTGTGTATTATATATACACACATATGTGTGTGTCCATATAATCAAGGACTTTATTGTCAACTAGCTATTTTTCAAAGCCATCTAAAGTCCACCTGAGATGTGTATTCCTGCATTTAAACATAGGAAATCTTTGAGGCGAGGGAGGCACCTCTCTGAGGTAAAATATTTAAACTTTTGTCCAGTTTTCTTTTTATTTTCTATTTTCTCTAAATTCACAAGTGACCCCTATAAGATGTGAGTTGACAGAGCCCTCTCATAACTTATTTGACACATACGAGGTCAAAAAGAAATGTTGAATGAATGAACTGTTTAAGGACATTATTTAGGAAATTCAAAGCTGTTCCCATTTCTGCACAATGGGGAATTCACTTAAGTAACAATCCCAGGAAGATGTTATCTTTTCTATACCAAATCTGCCTTTAAGTCATAACAGACTATCCAACCCCCCCCCAAAAAAACCCTCACAAAGCAAAATGCTAATCTGGCAGAGAGAACATGCACACAAATTCACAGTTAGAAAGAAATAAAAACTATGTGGCCTAGTCATATTTGGGTTTAACAAGTCATTCTTCCATAAAAGTAATACATTGTCATTCATCCTGTCAACACCTGCTAGTAATTGGTAGTGACAAATGCTGATCCATTGGCTCATCTGATGTCATAACTGAACCCTAAGCTTTAGTTAGGGTTTAACAGAAATGCTTGCAGAATGACAACAGAACTAACAATGACAAACAAAATACAACCTTTTTTCTCTCACATGTAGAAAAAAATCTGAAGAATTACAGGTAAATATTGTGGCTCCATAATTTTCTCAAAGAATCAAATTACCATACTCTGTACTGTCCAAGAACCTGGCTCCTGCATTTCAAATCACCTCATATCCCAAGATGACTGCGGGCACTCCAGCTATTGCCATGAATTTTCAGGCTAAAAGCTAAGAGAAGAGTCAGAAGAACAAATTGTACTTCCAGCAGAATCAGTTTCCTTTAAATAATCTTTAGAAAATTACCACAAATACTTCTACTAAACAACTCAAGCTGGAATTTACAATCATGGCCAAATTTAGCTCCAGAAGGTCTGGAAGGTAATGTGCTTTGTGTTTGGGGAACCATATAACCAACTAAAAATTCACATTTTTGTTTCTTCCTACTATTTTATACTGGCTTCAGTTTTTCATACCTGCATTACATTCTTCATATTTCACTGTACATTTTTCCATGTTTTAGAAGTATGTGAATAACACTTTTAACCTCAAGAGTTTGGGTAAAGAATGTGAAATTGAAAAAAATTTGTCAGAATAATTTATCAACAGCCGATGCATCCTTATTTATGTCAACACAACATTAAATTTTTTTTTTACTTTACATCAAAATATAAATTCATACTTTTAAGGGTGGGGGGATCTTGGTATTCATCACATCTTTCAGTTTGGCAGAACTGGGAACTGGCAAATTTGTCCATGGTAATTACAGCCTTAAAAATATAAATAGGAAACCCAGATTAGTAAGAGATTAACTTATAGTACAAAGCAATGTAATTACTGTATGTGAAAAATTATCTGCTAATCATGCTAATATTAACAGTGACCAGTTGTTTATTCACTTTTCTTCTCAAGAAGTCACATGAAGCACAGAAAGTTGCTAAATGAGCATATAAATCAGAAAAGGAAAATTCCCTCCAAGAGTAACTCTGACAGTGTCAATCCACATGGATATAGTATATTCCACATCTAAAGAAAGTCTTCCCAATCAGTTACTAAGTTTCTGTTTTCAATGTACAAAAATTATCCTTTTCTGTTTTAAAGGCTTTCTTGTCATTTCAGGAAGCATAATCTCTTATGCATCAATCTTTATTTTTTCAGCTATGATTTTTAATCGTTCATTCACTCATTTATTCATTAAGCCTTTTTTAGAGGGTCTACTATATGCCAAGAATTATTCTACATACCAAGAAATACAAAGATGAATAATTGTTCTTAAAGAGAAATCAAGCACAAAAAAAAGATAATGATCTTTTTACCACATATTCTTGTGTTAAAAGCCCTGATTTCTGTAGTCAGGGATCATTATGAGAAACTGAGGAAAGACAGCTGACCCAACTTGGAAAAAGTAATTACTAAGGCAAGACATATAACATTAATAAAATTAACAGTTAATCATGAGAGCATGGTATTAGTCAAGAGACTGCTCTTGAGCAAGTACATAAAAATCTCTGTGTGGAGAATAAAAATTTTCATTTTGTGGGAAGTAGAGAATGATGGTAAGCAAGTGGTAAAAAGTGTCAAGTGACAAGTATATTAAAATTTAGCCTAATGTATCCAATTAAAGAACTTGGTTTTGATTTTTGGGGGGATGGGATACTGTTGAAAGATTTTTAAGCTAGGAAAGTGTATATAGGAACATAAAAGGCAAGGGAGGTGACATTGTGACATCTGCATTTAAGAATGTTCACTGGGATGGACAAATGGACTCTTATTTGGATGGATACTGAGAAGGATACTGAGTAGGACTGAAGGCAAGGAGCCAATTGAGAAATAGGCACTATGGGATGAGGAGGACCTGAATGGAGCAGTGGTAGTAGAGGGAAAACACAAGTGATATATGTGAGAAATATTGAGAGAAGTAATTTCTAATTCTCTCTGCACATTAGAACCACAAATTCCCAGGCGCTACTCCCAGGGAGTCTGTTTTAATTGATCTAGGATATTTTTAAAGCTTCCCAGGTGATCCCAGTTAGCAACTAAGGCTGAGACCCACTGATTAGTTCAGTAGTCACTGATAATTACTAGAATATGAGATGTGTAGAAGTCAGAGATGACTGCCAATTATCTAATGACAGGGTAAAAGAGAGCCTCAGACTGACAGAGAATG